TGTGTGTGTGTGTGTGTGTGTGTGTGTGTGTGTGTGGCTTATGGCGTGCAGTACCTTCTTCCCCCGAATACAACGTACGGTCATTATAGCTGTATCTAGACTGAAAAATGTGTCAAATACAGCTATTATGACCGTACGTTGTATTCGGGGAAGAAGGTAGTGCCTTATCTGTGAAATGAGAATGAATCTTCCGCAAGAACACTGGAATATTCGCGCTCTTGTTTTGCACATCTGATGAGTAGCGCCCGCGTCCCGCTCTTCTCTAAATCTGCAAAGTGCGAATGAATCTACAGCGAGAACATGGGTAGATTCATTTGCGTTTTGCACATTCACAGTGCAACGGGCAGCGTGCCTTCTCTCTCTCTCTCTCTCTCTCTCTCTCTCTCTCTCTCTCTCTCTCTCTCTCTCTCTCTCTCTCTCTCTCTCCACACACACACGCGCGCTTCCTTTCTTTCTTTGTTTTATTTTTTGTTTTTGTTTTGTTTTGTTTCGTTTTGTTTTGTTTTGTTTTGTTGTTGTTTTTTTTTGGTCAGGAAGACGTACGTGCGTAGTTTTTCGTTTGTTTCTGTTTTTTCACAAAGTGGGCGCCCAACCCTGAAACGACCGGCCTCCTGAACGAGGCACTACCGGGTGTTCGCCTCCCCCGACCCCCGAAAGCTGCGGCGCATTAACGGCCGCAAACTTTTTTTTTTAGCTGGGCGAGGTACTGGTGGTTTAATAAGTCCAGGGTGTTGTAGAGGCCAGGTTGCTGGGCACACATTGATTGCCGGAAGTGGTCAGCCGTGGTCGCCCTGAGGAGATGAGGCCACCTCCCATCCCATCCTCGCATGAATACTCCTAGCGCATCCCCTATCCCTACTATCCTACCTCAGTGTGACCAGCACTCAGGACCATCACCCTGCCAGTATCGAGGGGAACTTGGACCGAACAGTAATGACAGGCACCAGGTCTAGCAACGCAGCCCTGGTGGAAGCATAGTCGAACGAGCCTCGTCGTACGGGTACTTCGGACGCCAGGCTCAAGCAATCACCTATTAGCCCCTAAGTTGACCAACCAGTAACTCACGCCCTCTACTCTCCCACCACAGACCTGGCTGTATATTTAAGGCAGGGTACTTATCACCGAGACGCCTATCATCATCACCAGTTGGAGCCCACCAAGCCAACCAGTGACTCACGCCCTCTACTCTCCCACCGCAGACCCTAGCTGTATTTTTAAGGCGGGGTACTTTCATCGAGACGCCTATCTTCATTATCAGTTGATCGTGACCTCCACCCAGCCCTTGTGTGTGTGTGTGTGTGTGTGTGTGTGTGTGTGTGTGTGTGTGTGTGCCCGTAAGTTGACCAGCCAGTAACTCGCGCCCTCTACTGTCCCACCACAGACCTAGCTGTATATTTAATGCGGGGTACTTATCATAGAGACGCCTATCACTTTTTCCCAATTGCTATGGCACCAATATCTTCGTTACGATTTTTCTTATCATTTTTTAAAGTTAAATACAAAAAGAATAAGGAATTTGTGGTAACCTCCTGAGGTTACCGCAAATTCCCAACCCCCGTGGGCCCCGCAGGCCGCTGACAAAAGGGTTGACAAATAAGTAGTTTGTGAAAATGTGAACTGGGTGTGACTAGTACTGGCTACCCCTCGACACTATTTCTTAGGATTTTGGGGATTATGCGGAATTGATACTGCAATGTGAGTGTGCCCTTATCCTTCCCACTGTGCTCACCTTTATTCCACTCTCCTTATTTCCCAAGTTTCCATACCTTTGGGCATCGCAACACGACTCACCACAATGCCATGCACAAAAGACAAAAAATATGGGGGTGTACCTTTCCATGTTCTAGCGGAAGATTCATTCTCATTTTGCACATTTGGTGAGTAGTGGAGCAAGGCCGTTTGTCTTCCTTTGCGCCCTCTTCCCTCTCTGTCTATCCCCTGTCCCTACACTGTGCCTCTTTCTTTTTCTTTTTGAAATAACGGCGAGCACGGCATGTTTTGAAACCCTAACGGCAAAACAAACTTGCGCGGGCAGAGAAACCACACGCCAACTCGAAATGAGCAATTTGAGTCCAAAAGTATCCGTTGGGCTTTTTTTTTTTTTTTTTTTTTTCCCCTCTGACACCACGGCCGTCGGTACTTCCGTTGCCTTTTCGAACGTGGCATGGTTTTCTTCGCCGACGGGTGTTTTTTTTGCCCATTCGATACTCCCAAGGTGACATGAACGTACCTACCCTTTTTTTCCTTCTTTTTTCACTGCGCTGCTTTTTCACAGTCCGCAAGTGGGCCGTTGTGGCACTCGGGGATGTGGGCAGCTCACACTGAACTACTACATCAACATGGAGACTCTTGTAAGTAAGAGTCACTGTAGAGAGAGAGAGAGAGAGAGAGAGAGAGAGAGAGAGAGAGAGAGAGAGAGAGATGAAAGAAGAAATAAAACCCATAGATATGTGGCAATAGGTATGGTATGTCTACCTATGATTCTACATATATGTGTACAAATTGTGAAAAGCAGGGTGTTCAACATGGTATGTGGTATGCCTGATTTGAAAAATTGAGAGGCTCACACTGGTGAGCAGTGAGCAGTTCTTTTAAACTACTTTGCGGCATTACGCAGGACTGTTCAGAGCGGAGGAGTGGCTGTGTCTTCTCTTCCTCCAAGGCAAGGTCAGGCCAAGAGCGGGGATGTGGACTCTGCAGCTCCAGCTGCTACAGCAATGAGGAGTGGAGGCTTCGAGGGGGCTTCGCATTTCAATGGCTCAGTTATAGAGGGCACATCCATCACATACATGCACTTGTGCCACATGCTTAGGTCACGACATCCGGTGATTCGTAGCATTGTGTCCTCTTGTGTGATGAGGCTTCTGTTTGCCCTGTGGGAAACCAGGACCGGGATGGAGTGCCGAGCTGCGCAGCAGCCACCTTGCTCGGTCAAGAAGACCCGGACGAGTGTCAACTCGTCGGGCCAAGTTATGGGAGAAGAAGATAGGTATACCGACGACGACCTGCTCCTCTCGGAATTCCGAGTGACGACAGCTCTTGTTAACACACTTTACGACGCCCTTGCTGCCTACGAGCACACCGTGCGGCATAACTCAGCCCTTTGCATAACAATGCTTGTGGTCGGGAGTCCTCGTCTGCCCCTCCTAGCACAGGAAATGGCACTCAGCCATCCGTGGAACAAGTTCATTCTCAAAGAGATGGTGTCGGTCTTCCGCCTTGACGGCAGCTTTTCGACGTCTGGACCTCACGCCGGAGGAGAATCTGAACACGTGTCGTCTGGTTTTCTGTCCGAGTCACTCTTTGGAGACACAGATGAAACGCCGGCATCCATCAAGTTTGAAATGGGTGTGAACATGGCGATCATTGCATCCGTCCTTCTTCCGCATTCTTCCTCCAAGGTGCCATGGATTGTTCAGCTGCTTGATGCGCAGTGCCTTGCGGGAATGGTCCGATTCTTACATCATCAATTGGTCAGTTACGGCAGCCAATGGGCCCATGGACCAGAGTGCGACAGTGGCGCACACTGCAACCATGGAGGAGCAGAGCTGATGCTTATCAATGGAGTCCTGGCACTGCTGAGGGAGCTGTTCATTGCTGGCCATATGGATGCATCGCTCGTCATCAAGCTGCATGACATGTTGCAGGTCAGTTATGAAAAGTTGTTAAAAACCTTTCCCCCCCCTTCTCTGGGAGAAACTGCAGGCCAGGTCCCACTGCCAAGATGACTACCATCTTCCCCCAAACACAACACACGCTCATCATCATTTTTTTTTATTTTTTTTTTGACTGTACGAGACTGGAAAAGTAGCTCATGCAAGGCCCCAGAGGAACACCCTCGTATCATGCCAAACTGCTCATCGGCTTCAAAGGATGTTTTTTGTAGGGTGTGTCCTAGGGTCTTGTCTACGTCCTTTTCAAGGGTGTTGTGCAGGGTGTTTTCTGGAGGTTTTCTAGGGTGTTTTCTAGGGTGTTAGGGTGTTTTCTAGGGTGTTTTCTAGGGTGTTTTCTAGGGTGTTTTCTAGGGTGTTTTCTAGGGTGTTTTCTAGGGTGTTTTCTAGGGTGTTTTCTAGGGTGGATGAGTCTGTTTTGCAAACAAATTATGTTCTTGTGCTTTCTAAGGTGATTTCTAGGGTTCTGTCTAGGGTGTTGTCTAGGGCATTGTCTAGGGTCTTGTCTAGGCTGCTGTCTAGGGTGCTCTCTGGGGTGTTTTTTAGAGTGCTGTATAGGGTTTGTCTAGGGTGTTTTCTAGGCTTCTGTTTAGGGTGTTCTCTGGGGTGTTTTGGAGGGTGTTTCATAAGGTGTTGTCTAGGGTGTCTTCTGGGGTGGCCGACTCTGTTTTGCATACAAATTATGTCCTCCGCAGTCAGTCTGCCTATCAGGGTGATCAATGCTGTCCAGAATAATGGTAGCAAAACAGATTCAGCCACTGTAGGAAAGAAACTAGAAAACACCCTAGAAAACAGACAGCCACCTAGAAAACACCCTAGAAAACAGACAGCCACCTAGAAAACACCCCGTACATCAGGGAAATCAATGCCGTCCCAGCAGAAGGGTCACTCTTATCACTGTTAGAGCTCGGGCCCTTCAGAAGGATGTTTTTGTTATTGAAAAAAGAATTAATTGAAAAAAAACAAAGACATGCATTTAACAAGCTAAGGCACTTTGGATGAATATGCCAGATATGGAAGCCAGACCTAGTCAAACGAGTCCTAGAGAGTGCGTATATCCTAGACTCGGTCTCCATGATTTATCCTAGACTCGGTCTCCATGATTTATTATGCAAAAAGAGGACAATTTTGGTCTTTTATTTTTTCCCTTAGAGGGGGGGGAGCCTGGGAGGGCAGGTGGGAGGGAGGCGTACAGGACGCAGAAAACGACAGGCGCAAAGATTTCTGAAGAATCTGAACTACAATGACCTTCGTTGTCTGCAGGATTTCAGGAGCACTTCTTCTCACGGAGCCGCGAACAAGGGCTTGCCACGTCAGAGTCTGCCTGGTGGTGATCTGAGACATCAGAACGATGTCTGCGCTTTCTTTCCGTGCGGCTCTGCGGAAGCATCCTGCACAGCCGTCGTGGACGGCGTCTTTGTGTCAACAGAATGCCCTTATTTCCAGCAACCATGTCTTTTCAGACCGCCAAGGAGATTTCGACTTGTGCTTCGCTCAAAAGATGAGGATCGCTCCAAGACAACGACAGAGTGGCGAATGGTGGCCTCAACAGGGGAGGAGGGTGCCACAGGTAGCAGCATCCCATTTCACATGCAGATCGATGCATTTCTTTGTGAGACGGCCATGGCAGCAGACTCTTAATTAAGAATAGCTGCTTAACAAGGTCAGTTGATCAGCGTACAGTTTTTTTCACTTTCTTTCTAATCACCAGTACGAGCCCCCTCTTCAGAAACTTCCAGCGGGATACAAGGGTTTGGCAGGGACTGGTTTGGCTGCACTTTCAATGTGCTGGTTTCGCAGGGACTGGATATATTCGTTTGGGCGCAAAAGAATCAGGTTTGGTAATTAGGGTCAGCTCTACTGGTGCCTTAGCCAGATCAGCATGTTACGCTACTGATGTACAAACTCCTCTTATATCTCTGTTATAGTTTAGGGTCTTTCAATTCTGCTCTCTCTCTCTCTCTCTCTCTCTCTCTCTCTCTCTCTCTCTCTCTCTCTCTCTCTCTCTCCCC